GTCGTTTAGAGTAAAATGTGTTTGATGAAACTGCGTAATGGTAAAACAAGTTGCATACTGCGGGCTTAAATGCACACAGTCTGCAGCGCCCGTGGGCCCGCGTGCTGCTATCACCAGTAATACGGCTGTCAGAGTGAAGTGATGTTGCACTTTTCAATCAACCACCAGCAGTGGCGTAGATTGAACAGATTGTTGGTGAATTGCAGTGGGATAGCAGTGAGTTCACACTCTGTGAGGAATGTTTGCAATCAGACCCACTTCAGAAACAGATGGGCTGCTCACTGCCGGGGCTCACAGGAGGCTGAGGACACCCAGGATCCATGAAACAAATAGGAGAGCACGAGGAGAGCAGGATAAGCAAAAAACTGCAGTGCAACTCCTTCACCAGGCTGTGTGTGTGTGTGTAGGTGTGTGTGTGTGTGTGTGTGTGTGTGTGTGTGTGTGTGTGTGTGTGTGCGCGCTCTCTCTCTCTCCATCTGGCTCAGGTCGACAAATTCGGCTAACTCTTTTATTTTACGCTACACAAGGTGTTTACTTTAATTGTGACAATTACATAGTAATTTGCTTACTCTTTGGGGACTCCAATTCATTAAAGTGTTGACTGGCTCTGTTGTTTTGCTACCAGCAGGATTAATTTTAACCAAACAACTAGAAAATATCCACCTTTGATGTAATACTTTTTTTTTTTTTTAATTAAATTAAAATACAAACAATATAATGCCATCTGCTCTTTATGGAGCAGTTAATAGGGAAAAAAGCAGGATGACATAACTTTAGAAAGAACAAATAACATAATAAACATGTTAAATTTGGCTCAAATACAAAGTAAATAAATAAAAACTCAGTGAGGGGGGTTTTGTTTTTACAGCTTCACATGCTCAGACGCTCACAGTGGCTGATGCTTTACTTTAGACTTTAGATGCATGACTGGGTCGGTTTCTGTCTTTATGACTCTTATCTGCTGATAAACGTAGAAGTGAAACAAGAAATGCACACACAGAAAAATGATAATAAACCTGTTTGACCGCTCAGTGCATCCAGGTCTGTGTCCCATGATGAAGGATATGTGGAAATCCAAGTGAAGTTATTGATTTGATATTCTGTGTGACAAACAGACTAATCAATGTTCTAATCTGTGTTCTATTAGCTGACATGTCATCGCTGTAACAGCAGCAGCACTATAAAGTTTGGCAGCAAGTCAGGACCAAGCACACCGACACATCCGTCCATTTTCTACATCGTCGACTGAATGCATGTCAGAGCCGGTGGCCAAAACAAAGCTACAGATTCTCAGCTTCATCGAGTGGGATTCCTAATGTGCAGCCCAACAGGCTTGCAGATATTCACTCAGCTGAGAGTCTGTGTTACTCACAGAGAGTATGGTAACTAGTGAAAGTGTGCTGCTCCCAACAGCCACTTTGAATCCCAATCTCTGGAGCAGGTTACCCGTGTGCAGCATCTGTTGCCATGGTGATCTAGCAGGTTAAAAAGGAGAGGCACCTCCAAGACACTGAAAACTCTCCCCTTTGGCTCAACACACTTCACCAACCCTCTCATCGTGCTCCGTAGCTCAGCCCATAGGAGGCTGTTTGTTGTTTTTTATTGAGCTACAGCTAAGTTACTCTACAGAAAGCAGTATTATAGAAACACAGCTTCTGTTCTCCTCTTTGAGGCAGTTCAGTTGCTCAGGAATGTAATTTTTTGTGAGACATTGTTGTGACAGTAATCTTGTGCTGCTTTTCTCTCATCTTTGGAGATTCCAGCAGACTTAATCGATAAACCCTCAGCAAACAAAAGAGAAAGGCGCAAATGTTAAAACCTCATTTCTTCAAATAAGCACCGAACAGGAAAAGTGTTTGCTGAAGCCGCTATCAGAGGCTGCAGAAAGCAACATGATCAAAGCGTAATAACGCTGAATGAAGGATGTTTTAATGCAGAGTTAAAACACTGCACATATGATCATTTACATCAGTTTAATTACAGCTTTGAACGAGAGACTCTGGCTGGCATGAGACGTCCATATCTGGCTGCTTTTCCAAACCGCTTCCATACTTTCACTCTTAAATATCAGAACATTCATTAAAAAAGTCGTTTGGATGTTGATGTGAATCCTGTTTACTCCTCTAATTATATGACATCTCATCATCTCTATTTGATCGCATGTTTTCACCTTAAACATCCTGAAACCTGAGAGAAAGGAAGAGAAACCAAATAGTTTGCTTTTGTTTCGGCTTTAATTGGGATTTCAGAACAATGTCAGCCATCCAAATTATGTTTGAGATGCATTTCTATCCTGTCAAGACAATATTTTTGTGGAACGCTGAACTGTAGCATCACAAGATGGTAAAATATAAAGAAATGGCAAAAAAAAGAAAAGCTTTTATCTTCTGAACTCCTCTCCAGTGAGCTGCATTAGCTCTGATTGTCACTCTCCATTACATGCTATGGACTGAATGCAAATCCTGCACGGGGGCCCGGGCTCCTATCAAATGCATTATTTGCTGGGTATTGACGAGTACACGGGGAGGTGTTGACAGTTGTGACTCTTTTGAACAATGTACTGTAGCAGCACTAATGTGTCACTGACTGCAGGGTATTTATAGATGTGGAGCCCAGACAACCTATCTCTTTCATATAATGTTATTCCATGATGCAAAGCACACAATCACTCACGAGGAGTATTTCTGAGCAGTTGGACAGCTTGACAGCTTCTATCTGTTACATGTCCAGATATGGAAGCTGACATTTTTCTGACAGGAACACAAGCTCTCCCGCTGCTCTGGTGCTCTCCTGTTCATTCTTATTCGTTAGCCTCATCATGAATAATCATTTTAACCCTATTTAGACAAAGCACTCGGCATGTCGTTTGCATAATATTTTAAAGGGAAAAAAAAAATCCCCACTGAGGCTGTTGCGGTCTATTTAGCGAGTGTTTCTTCATCCATGTTGTAGAAAGTACGGTGGCCTACGGGGGCCAAATGATGTGCACGTACAGAAACGAGCTGCAGGTACATGAATGTGTTGCATGAACAGAAACGAGCTGCAAAAGGAAACGCTGCACATCCACTCACAGGCCTCTAGGGGGCAGATTTTTTAGTCTTTTCTGTGGTTATTTGGGTGCTGAGGTGGTGTCTCACTGCCTGTGTTCTCTCTGTTATTCATGTTTATCCATGGACACCAGAGAAACCTTTTCATGCAGCTGTCTCGCTCACCATGAAAGGCTCACTACTGCCCCTAGAGGCCTGGAGCACTTGTGTGACTGGATGTGCAGCGTTTTCTTTTTGCAGCCTGTTTCTGTTCATGCAACACATTCATGTAGATGCAGCTCGTTTGTGTTCACGCATGTGGGCCACCATAAGAAAGAAAGAAAATTTTAAAACCTCTTATGTCGTGCACATATTACAGAAACAAACTGACCAGGCCAGAACGAGAAGCAGCACCTAATTAAAAGCATCAGCTGATTAACGATATAACAGCGGATGAATACCTGCAGCTCTCCATCGTCTGCTCGCTCCTCCACGACTGTCAGCCCCTCGAATCAAAGACTGACGCTCGCAATCAATAATAATCAACGACGATGTGCTGGTGATCGGTAAAAAGAAAGAGAGAGCGTATAAATGTGAATTAGGGGGAAAAAAAACAATTCAAGAGATATCTAAGCTCAGATCTGTGTGTTCCCTCCTCGGTGGAGAAACACTGCTGAGGCGCTTCCTGTAGTTCCTGGTCCTCACGGTGCCACACGATGCCCAGATGTGGTACATCTGCATGCAAATGACATACAAAAGGCTTATAAATATAGAAATTATGTTTCAGTAGAACAATGTTTGTCTTTGTCAGTTCTACTACAAAGAATATTTAAGTAACACGAGCAAGTAATGCCGAAAAACAGCCGCTCAGGTCCACTGTAGCTGTAGCGGCCTAACACACACCGAGTGTGAGCTATTCCCTTAGAGGTTTGTAAAATAAATAGAAAAATCAAGGTTTAATACGCTTGCAAACTGTGCCAGCCGTTCCATGGGGTTATTTAGACGTCCCACAAAACAGAAAAGCTGCTTCCCTTCCGCTGGTCGTGAACACTTTCCACTGATTGCTTATTCATGTGTTGTTTCGTTTCAAGAAAATAAAGTCGAGCTATAGGGAGAAATAGAATAAGACCAACCATAGCCGGATGAATTGATTCACATTCATATCAGCACCAATTTGTGGTAATGCAGGGATACGTTTAGTCAGAGCCGATCATTTGACTCCAGGAATCAGTCAGATGGGGAACGAGGTAAAGCCCATTCCAGCTCCACGTCGTGTTTTTTAGCGACAGAAAACACTATTCTGGACGGTTTAATGCCCTTTTTCTCTGCGTGAATGCAGCTTTATTCAAATGCATTACAATAAATGCTATATAAAAAGTCACTAATGTCACTCGGCGCTCTGTTAATGCTTCATCCGACGTCCCGCGCTGTTCCTGGTCGACGGCGGGTTTTACAGCAGGCTAGCTGCACCGACGTCGCCTTAATCCATCTTTAGAGCAGATACTGTATTTCTGCAGACAACTGTGTTTCAGGCTTAACTCTGGATGAGAATAATGAAACAGTAAGCCAGTCTCTAAACCAATCCAGTGCCTTGTGGAGTCAGCAGTGGAAGTGGAGGCAATGATTCCCACAAGAAATTGCGACGGTGATCTTATTAGCTCAGTCCTAAAAACAAGCCAGCGGTTAGAGCTGGATGTAAGCGAGCAGTTAAAGTGAACGTTGGACCAGCTCGTGTCTGCGTGTGGCGCCTCTTTCAACGGTACGAATTAGCAAATGACACACTTATTCACTCGCTGACACTGTAAAACGATGGATCCTAAATAAACGAGCAAAAGACGTAACCAGAGCTGATGTGTTCATCAAACAGCAGACCTGTTCACAGCAGCTCAGCCTTTATTCCAAATGGGGGGAAAGTTGACTTTAAGCATCTCTGTTCAGCTCACACAGTGTGTTTGTTTGTCTTCTGATTCTCAGGTCGCAGCAAAAAGAAGGAGCACTGCCTGAACGAGAAGCTGCACCCGCTGGAGGAGACGGAGACGTGTCCCTGTGATGAGTTTCTGTCCCAGCCCTACGGGAACTGGTCTGCCTGCATCCTCCCTGATCCCTCAGTCCCAGGGTCCCTGCAGGGTTGGATGAGCCACCGGGAGGTAAAGGAGTGTGGCCAAGGTCTGCGCTACCGAGCCGTGGCCTGCATTAACCAGCAGGGACACCTGGTTAGCCCCACGCTCTGCACAGACTCAGGTAGGGCTGAAAGATATATATAGATACTGCAGAAAGGATGGTTTTCAGCTACTTGTTGGCTATTTTAAAGCATGCAACACATTTATAACCTGATAATCAGCAGGAATCAGCCAGTTTATCATTAGGAAAGGGCTCGTTTTATTTTTTAGAGGGTGACATAATAATCCATCCCTCCAATGTCATCTCCAGTTTTCAGTGCATTTGTATTTTTTACTGTTTCATGGATGTTACTGACATCATTTTAAATGCACATCAGTTTTTATGCAAGGCTTGATCCTTGCTGGATCCGTCTGAATTGTTATCTGCAGTCGGAGTCACATGAAATCAATATAAGCAGCAGTTGCCGGTGGGCTCGACGTTAGTCTATCCTTCATTCAAAAATAAAACCGTAGTATCGGTGAAAGCTTTAATTGTAATGCCCGCAGCAGCTAGTTTAAATATTTAATGAATGTGTCTGCGTCCTGTTTATCTGCGTGTTCCCTTTTAGAGTAAAGGAGCTGAGTAAATAATGCTAATAAAGCTATCCTGCAAACAAACAAAAGTAGAGAACAAAAAGCATGATACGGAAACCCTGTGAAACCCCTGGCACGGTGTAAGAATGAAACACTCATTAGTCAGATAATTAGCTCTTGGTGTCACAGTGAGTAAGTCCAAGGTCTGGCGAAGCACAAGCCAGTGGCATGTCTGTCTGACATCATTAATGTGATCCTCGCTGCAGCTCCCGAACCCAGCCTGAGTCATGCCTTCCCCTTCTGTCTGCCAACGTTTGATTTCAGGCTACATCGTGGAGGTCTGCCACATCCCCTGTCCCCTAGACTGTAAGCTAAGCGATTGGTCGGCCTGGTCAGCCTGCAGCGCGTCCTGCGGTAACGGGCTGAAGATCAGGTCCAAGTGGCTCAGGGAGAAAGCTTTTAATGGGGGACGTCCGTGCCCTAAGCTGGATTTGAAAAACCAGGTAAGGCTAGCACCGCTGCGTCTAGCATCCAGTGCAGCACAAGAGGAACACTAATTGTGGGAGGTTTTTTGTTATCACTGTCTTTGAAGGAATGGAAATTAGAGTCATATATTTCCAAGACAGAGCGAAAACGAGCAAACAGGGCGACCTTGGCACCGGTCTGCATCGTCCTCTGGTTGCTTCTTCCCATAAGAGACAGTTTCCAGAGATGTACATGTTAAAAAATATTGTTTGGGCTTAACATAAAAAAAAATAACAGTTTGCATGAATCTTTTTAAGTTATGAGGATGTTTAATTAAATTATGTTGAACCAACAAACAACACTGGGTTACAGGAATTAGCTTTTTCTCTGCAACTACATTTTATTTTTATTAATTTTTGTCTCTCTTGACAGCCCAAAACTGTCCGTGCATGTTAAGCTAGAGGAGGGGGATGTCAAAGTGAAGAAAAGTGTAGCTGCTGAGCTAATTTCACGACATGAACTTGCATTTAATGTACAAATTTGCATTAACATTACACACGTTATTAATTTTATGCAACTGCTAAAATTATCACATCAACACAAATCATCAGAAAGAAACGTTTGCAACTTAAAAGGTTGATCTAAATCAGTAAATTAGACTTGTTGTTTTGCAACCATGCATTTAATTAATTCATGGAAACAGGACCCTGGAATTACTTTTCTGAGGGTATCGGACGAATACAGATGAGCGCAGTCGATACTCGAAGTTTACTCATGTGTACGACACGAGTGCATGTAATAGAGAAGCCGCCCCGAATGTAGAAATATGTGTTTATTTAATGCTAACAGGGTCCACACCCCGTGCTCTACGCAGACATTATCTTACTGCTTGCTGCATGTGATATCAGTGTGTTGCCTGCAGCAGTTTGCATCCTAATTTTTTTTTTTGTAACACATCTCCTGCGTGTGTTTGAGATATTTTCCTTCTCATTGTGCTGCGGCTAATTTACTGCCGTCACAGCGTAATCGTGGCATTCCGCTCACATTTCAATGACAAGGTTTATTACCCGGCCGACAGAGAGACTCCTGGGCGACCGGTTCTGGTGTCTTCAGTCAGACGTAATCGTTGGCCTTGCAAGACATGCCCTTTCCTTCACATAAAAACGGAGCAATGTTAAATAACAAAAAGAGCGAGGAGAGGAATGGACAGATGGGAGCGTTTGATATTCAAAAGTCTGGTTTTCTCTGTAGGTATGAATATTTTGTAGTAGCACGTCTCTCTCGGGGGGTCACGGTTTAAAGAGGGAAAGTGTTTTATGAAAGCTGCCTGTATGCTTGAATGGGCTTGAAAGGACACTATAGTCTGTAGAGGTCAGCGTGGATGGCTGCATGAGAAATATTCTAATATGTTCTCGTGGAGGTTTGTGTACAGATGGTTAAGTGCCCACTAACAAGCTCTATATGGCCCCTGTTGTAATGCCCTGCAATAACCCCTCGCCGCTGAAATTGGAGCTCGCCGTTTGCCGTGTCCTCGTAGATCCATCCTGAGGGTGGAGTGGGGCTCATTGTTAACATTATCAAACCGGCCATTTAACGTGAAGTGCGTCTGTCTGAGGTGCAGGTGAAAGCTACAACAACCTTTATGCTAGCTCAATAGCCAAAGGTCTGCGGGGTTATTTTCCCTGCTGTTCCGTCAAACTGGGAAACTCCCCGACGGTTCTCCGCATCGTGTCGACGAACGCCGCGCTCTCCTCGAGTCCAACACCGCCTGGCCCCCCCGGTTCTTAATTTAGTCTCTGTCAGGATGTGGCGTGACAACGAATCCTCTCATCCCTTAATGGCGAGCCTCCTCTTTCACAAACACTCGCTCTCTTATCGCCGACTGTGAACCGTAAACCGCTCTCGAGCCGGAGTCTAGCCGCTCTCCCACCAGCAGATGTTTCCCCTTGAGCCACAGCCAGAAGTGATTGGCTTGACAGAGATGAAATTTCCAGCACACCACAAATCATCCTCTCGTCACATGGTTGAGCGAGCACGAAAGATAGGGGCAGAGATGGAGAGAGAGAGAGAGGGAGGGAGAGAGAGAGCCACCATGAAAATAATGAGCACAAATGGCCACAATGTCAAACAGACTGTGTAGGAGCTGGTCTGTAAAGTAAACTCAGTAAGTGTGCTGTTAATGAGGTAGTTGGTAAGATTCCCTCGCATCGGTAAAACGCGACCATGAACAAGTGAATGAAAATGAATAATTCATACATCGGTCTCGCTGAAAATGCCTCCTCAGGCGCTTGTGTACAAGTGGGAAAAGAATAAATAAAGAATTAACTTCAAGTGGAGGGATGCTAAATACTTTGGTTTCACTTAACTCCTGAAGTCGCCAAACTCCTCCTTTGACCAGCGTTTATCAGATTATAGCTGAGCGATGGAAGCTGGTTGGCTTTCTCCACCCGACCCGCCATCTAAGGCCAGAGAGCGTTTCGTCATTTACTCGTGTCTGATGCGAGGGCTTCGTCCTGCTCTTTGTTAGATTTGGAGAAACTTTTACCTTCCAGCATCCTCATCAAAACTCATCATGTGCGGTCGAGTTATTGTTCATCAAACACGAGTCATCGTCGTCGTTACTTTCCCGTATCACTAAAAGTGGATCATGCTGCTCGAAACATATCATTTATCTTGCTCGGCCAAGTATGTGAGCTAAACAGGTAAATGTAATTGTGTTAGTGTGATAATTAACAGAACATAATCGGGTTCTGCATTCTGATCATTACTAACTAACCCTACGCTGCAATATAATGTGAACTTTGTATTCCCGTAACTGATTTATTTAGCAAAGATTCACTCCTGATTTTTAGCTGAATTCATCGTAACATACATCCAAGTTCAAGACAGCTGAAGTACATTTGAGTTTAATGGTAGAAATGGTTGTTTCCCTGCATTCAGCAAGTCAGATTTTAAAACAAAGTTATAAAGTGCCCGACAGGATAGAGCGATGCATTAAAAAAAGTATGAATAATTCAGTCAGTACAACCCGTCTGCATGTTCCAGCAGCAGAACTGACCATGTAGAGGCTCTTTTAGGGCCATTTTCTGGGAGAAAAGGTGCCGATACCTCCACGTTTCCTGCTTCAGAGTGGCTCTAATAAAACTGTTCTCGAAGCTGATTGGTTAAGAGATGACGACAAGCACCGTTTTTTGTTCTGTTGTTCTCGTCGAAGCTGTGAGATCCCACACGGTAACAGAAACAAGAAGTCGCGTTGACGCCTTCCCGGAGTTCCTGCAGCGGAGAAGCCGCCGTATTCTCACACGCTAGTTGCAGAGATTCTGTGCCGGAGTAAATAAGACAGGATGTGTGTCTGTGATTCAGAGAGCTGATGTCAGACTCTCTGGTGGAACGTTAATGTGTGAACTTGGCAGAAACAACAATCGCTCCAGCAGCTAAGGTCTCCATGACGACACCACAGGAAAATAAACCACATTAAAACCTGTGAAAGATGCTCCACATACATCGTATAACTAACAGCTAGCTTGTAGTATGTTTACATAGAACGAGCTTTATGGCTGGGTTCAGACCGTCCGGAAACTGACTGAGGTCCAGACTTGGAGAAGTATAGCATCGAGTGGTGACGACGATAGCTTTTAGCACAACGTCATGTCTGTTGGGTGAAGTGCACATTAAAGATCTTTTATAGGGCTCTTGTTTTAAACCATAAGCTAAATTAGCTAGTTAGCTCCAGTCTCTGAAATGTTTAACGATGGTTATATTTTCCAGATAACATGCTGCTGTTGTCTGTTTGTCTGAAATTTAAATATAATCTCATTTAAAAAACTAAAACCAGCCTTGAAAAGTGTCACTACCCACTTTAATAAGAGATTTATGAACACAAACCTGGCCGGAAACCCTCCAGTCATTGATTCAACCACTGAAAACTGATTTCTGTGTGACTTTTTTCACAAAAGTAGTTCCTTCTAACCTTAGTTGTTCCTCTATACCATTGCTTCCTGTAGATCTACGTGGTCCCTGCCTCTACTCACCCTGACTGCAGTCTGAGCACACCTGCTCACCCACAACTCAGACATTTTGAAACATGTTCAAACTTTTCTTCCTGCGTGGAGTCTCCATGTTCTCCCCGTGCAGCGTGGGTTCTCTCCGGGTTCTCCGGCTTCCTCCCACAGTCCAGAAACATGCTGAGGTTAATTGGTGATTGTAAATTGTCCGTAGGTGTGAATGTGAGTGTGCTTGGTTGTCTGTCTCTAAGTGTAGCCCTGTGATAGACTGGTTACCTGTCCAGGTGAACCTGCCTTCACCCTGAGTCAGCTGGGACCGTGGTGAGGACTAAAGTGTGGAGATAATGGATGGATGGATGTTTGAACTTGATATTGCTTCAGAGGTAAATCAGTTATATAGAGAGCCTCTCCCTCACGTAAACCCCTACGTTGATCAGATTGGTTCCTTCAGTTTGTTATCTATGAAGACCTGGAGGTCAGAATCCTGACCCGTGATTGTGAAAGTGATTTTGAGACTGTTGGTACACTGTGGTCTCAAGTTGCTCAACCGTGGCAGTCACTGCTTATTATGCTCATGACATGCCTTCTGGCATATGAAACACAGCATATGGACGCGTTAACAAGGTTAGAGAAACTTGATTTCCAGCGGATGGGCTCTTTAACAAAGCCGCTCCAGTGAACATGTGACAGTGCTGTCAGGGGCAGCAGGTATCGAGCGCACCGGAGACATCACCTGCAACTCAGGGCTGCCACTTCCAGCTCCTCCAACTCACCAGCAGCTCTTCACCAGCTGTACTCATTATCACCAGTAAAAAAAAACCCATAAGACAAACACCTGTATGCTGGGGTTAGCAGTACAGCGTTTGTTGTTCTGAACGCAGGATTTCATCTGTTGCTCTGCATGCATTTATTGGTAATTATGTGAATGAAGTGGGCGTTCTATGTGGCTCTCCATCGTGTGCACGGCTTCAAGTTGATTGTGATTTATGGAGAAAAAAAGAAGAGGTGTGCATGCAGAGAGCGTCACAATCTGA